TATGGAAAGAGGTATCGTCAGTATCAGTCATGCACTATTTGTACAAAACTTATGATTCAGAACAACTTACTTGGTTATTGGAGAGCGGCGATGGGAAGTGATGGGTGTGCAAGTTTTTTCCTGTGTTTACATGGGTAAGTCGTATTGCCTGCCCACATTTCACTGGGGTTCCGCGTTGGCAGCTGCCATCAACCTTCCCACGAACCCGCCAGTAACTGTTGGCATCATCTGAAGCTTCAACTCCTGTCACCGACTGTTGCCCACTTCCTGTTGGAACAGAATTAAATGGCAGGAGACCCAACCCACTCCTGGAGCTCAGGAAGTCCTGAAAGACCTGAGGAAAGCTGCTTTAAACACGAAGGCACGACAGTACTAAGACACACTTCATTCTTCCAGTTAATGTACCGGCTCCTCAGAATGCAGGTACCGTAACCTTTAGGCCGAAGAACGTGACCGAGGCCGCCGGCGCAGCGCAGGGCTCACCTCAGGGAGAGGGCAAAGCATCCCCTCACACTACAAACGCAGGAGATGCACGGCACTGTCGCGCCCCGGGCCACAGCCGCCTCCCCTCCCCTGTCCCCGCCCCTAGCCCACGCACAGTCCCATCGCCGCCCCGGCAACAGATCGCAGCAACCTCCGGCTTCATCCCACGACCCCCTCACAGCCTCCCGCGGCCATTTCCCGCTCCCTGCCCCTCTCCCGCCATTTCCTCGCCTCCTCAGCGCTCCCCGCGCCGTTTCCCAGCTTCTGGCCCCTCAACGCGGCGCCTCCCGGCCCGACCCCGCTCACCGGAGCCGTATTTGACCTCGTGAGAATGCAACCGAACGCTGTGGCGGGTGTTAAGCAGCTTCAGCACCGAGCCGCAGGTTACGGCGCCCGGCGCCAGCTCCCTTCCGCCACACAGCCCGCACAGGAGCAGCAGAGGGAAGAGGCGGCAGCCACCCCACATCGCGCCGCAACCCACCCGGCACCGCCGCCACACAGCGGAGCGCGCTTCCGCAGCCCCTCGGCGAGCTCAGCCAATCGCTCCCCGCCAGCACCGCAGCCAACCAATCACCGCCCTCCCTCCACCCGACCTCCATCTCGCACTGGGCCGCGACGGAGAGAACTCACAGTTCGGCAGGAGGAGCTCATTGGGCCGAGGGAAAGAGGCGACCAATCAGAGCAAGCAGCGTGGCGCCTCCCGGGGCGGGACGCGAGGGCGCGCTGAGACGCTTTTACCTCAGTGACGGGCCGGGCGGGGCCGTGCGCCGGGATCGGGCTTTTGTGGGCCGTTCGGTTCGCCCGCCTCAGCGCCTGTCTGCACAGCTCCCGACCCCTGCTGCGGCCGTGGCCAGGCACGGAGCGCTATCACCCCCTGGGTGCTCCCAAGGGCACGGGGAAATCCGTGCTCTTTCCTCACGAGGAGCTTCCCCTTGCTGAAAATTGGGTGTCAAAGGACAGCCTGCCAGGTTCGTTACAGCAGCATTCTCATCTAACGCGTAGTCGGGACTGTTAGAGAAATAATCGCTGGCGACAGGCCTCGCAAGGAAACACAGAGCAAAGTGTGTGATAGTGTAGCTCTGCGTTAGAGCTTCTCGCGCTGGGGTGTAAGTGCCATACAGAGTAATGCTGACTGCTGTGTGGCTGGTGGTGGTGATCGTGTCTGGTTTTGCACCTGAAAGTTCATCTGCTGTGTTTCAGTTCCTTTTGTAAACTTCTTCTAATGTAAAGAGATTATTAGTACCTATTCTGTATAACAGGAAACTGGATAAAGAAAGCATTGTACTTCATTGCATGGTGCTGGAGACTGAAGGATTTTCCCCCCAGCAGATAATAACAGCCTCCTTTACCAATAGGGAACAGCAATGGATAAAGGACACAGGAACTCCTACATAGTCCATTAGTTTTTGCCTCTGGAACTCATCACTGAATTGGTCCGTATCTCAGGAACGGTCTGGTGTGACGCTCCCAAAATCAGCATCATTTAACAGAGGAAAAACTTTTTATCTTATTAGCAATGCAGTAACATGTAGAAGAGCACCTGCCTTGGGTTTTAATTATTTGTAAGGATTGTATTCTGCGTTGGCAACAGCACAGAACTGCAACATCATACTTTTCTATCACGGGATGATTTAGAAAACACATTAGTACTGCTGGCTGGAAGAAACGTCGTAAGATGCTCAGATGACACTTTATCTCTTCCACCAATCTGTGAGGTTGTTTTCTACCCATGTGATACCACTCACTTGAATGCTCAGGGTTTTTTTCATGCTGGCCTGTTTTATGTATCTGACCTAAGAACAATTTCTGACTTAAATGTCAGACTTACCTTACAAGAAGCCTGTGTCCTAAACTCAGTGACACGTTCACATTTGTGTGCATGCACACAAGCCCGGTGTGTTTACCTGAGGACTAAAACTTCATAGTCCCAGTACACACGCACACACACAAAAGTCTTACATTGATAGCCAAATGCTATATTTCTTTGTCATTCTAAGAAACCTTGCTAAGACAGGAGCTCACATTTGCACTTGTTACGCATATGACAAAAACAGATGTCTGTAGTTGCCATTTTAGCCATGGAAAATCAATCATATGGGGCTTTAGCTAGCACCTGTTTGTCTTTCTGGGAGGTCACTCAGCCTTAGTGCATTTAGTACTGTTTACACGGTACTCCCTATGATGCTTTTCAGTTGTACTTTAGAAATGTAATTGGGTTAGAACAGTTGCCAACAAAGAACCCTATCAATGCTGAACACCCGTGGCAATTAACAGCCACCTCATTGCTACAGGGCCCGCCATAGTTTCTAGCAGAATGGTGTAAGTGGCAGGTAAACTTGACACAGAAATTAACTAATGGTGCATGTTGGGAATGGAAACGACAGCATATTCATAGGAATCTCATTGTGCTGCTTCTGTACACACACGGCATAGTTCAACAGTGCTGCGAAAGCGAAGTATACGGTGTGCAACTACAGTGCCTTCTGTTTTCAGACACTTAACCCTGCAGTCATTTCATATACTTGATTTTCAAGGACTGAAAGCACCTACAATTTCCACTCAGGTGCACCTCTAAGTACAACCTGGACGTCCCTGAAAAGCAGATTTTAATGTAATTTTGGTGTACAGGAATGGGAAATCTGTAGCACATGAAAATTTCAGAGGGAATACACTAATCCAAAGAAATGTATTAAAGAAAAGGATTTTCCTTCTTTTTATATTGGCCTTTTTATAAAATGCTGTAAGTTTTCTGTTTGCTGCGTGCAACAATAGCAGTGACTGACAACCAAGGTAGCATGGCAGACAACTCCTGGGATTGATGTACATCTCAGAAAGTAGTGCATCTTTGCATATAGACAGCCTCTGATTTATGAAGAACATTGCAATAACATTGCCTGGTTTCTCTTTCCTGGACTGTCAGTAACGCCAGGCAAAATATATGGGGCACAGTTCTGACCTTATTAGGATCTGATGCAAAAATAAGTCTGAATGAGCTTTTCCATTGACTTTTCTGCGCGCTTCGTCCTCTCACTGGTGGCAGTAAGGACAAACTACTGAGTGCAAGAGAGTAACATTAGAGAATCAGGCCTGTAAACAAGCTGTGTTATTTTTTGTCTCCTTTTGCACCCATGCTGATGAATGTAGAATTATAACCTCATTCCAGATCAAATATTTGTATCCATTGGCATGTCTTACACTAGACCTCTTCTGTGACCTCTAAGTAAACATGGCTGGAATACAAATAATAAGCAGTAGTAATATCAACAGGATCCTGTTACCTAAGGAGAAATCAAAATGACAAGAGATGTAGCTTGCAAAAAATTTCTAGAATTGCAGCTTATTACTTAGCTTATTACTTGTTTAAGGATTAAATACTCCAAATCAGCTGTTTATAATTCTGCATTCAGTAGACAAAAGTAGAATGTAAGAATGAGGTAAATAGCTAAATAAGCAGAAGACACTGGACACTGGAAGTATAGGAGGACCTATACCTCTGCTGCAAAGGAGGCTGAAACTGGCCAAGGCATCTCGCTGTTAACTAAAACAAGACTATGAGACAGGCAGTGACCATGTGAACAAAAATGTCTTTTTCTCCCTCTGAAAATAGTCTTCTTTAGAGTCGTGCAAAGACTTAAACATTTCTACAGTAGCCACTGCCTTTGCAGTAATTTTTAAATCTTTCAGGGTGGATTAGAAAAGAAAATGTTATCATCCTTTCATTTGAAGTGGATTTTACTTCATTTGACTCAAACACCTTGTTTTTTACATTTCACACTTTGAACAAAATTTGATGTTCGAAGATGAGAAAAATGGAGTTCTACTGTGCTACCATTGTAATCCCAAATGAACTAACTCACTGCAGCGAGGGAACAAGAAAAAGAACATGCATGTTCTGTGTCAGCAAACAGCTCGCTTGAAGTATTTGCATTTAGGAAGGCTTTTGTAAAATGCAGGAACCCTCTAAGTCTGCTATTGAATAAATGGAAGTTTGGGGAAAGAAATTGAAGCTCAAAACCAGTGAAGTACCATGACTCGAGGATGGAGAAAGTTCTTGCTAGCTTCTGTGACTAAGATAAGGTTGCTAGAAGATGCGGCCGGTGCTTAATGCATATCCTGGCTCAGGCAGTGCCACCGGAAGTGCTGTCCAATATCCTCATCCATTACTTAAAAGAAGATCAGAGTGTAGCCAGAGGAAGTCTGCCTTGCCTTTCAGTTCCACACTGAGTCTGCTTTCCTCAAGACTGTGCAGAGAGTGAGCTACTAAGTACAGGATCTTGGGAAAGGTCCAATCACAGGATGGGTTAATGGATAATTGGGAATAAAGTCAGATAAGAAAAGCCTCCAGGAACTTCGTTCAGTGATTAAGAAGGATGTTACTGTTAACAGTGTTAAATGCACACTAAGATTAAGAAGGTTGAGAAGCCAGGCGTTGTTTAAGATTCATATGTAGCATCTCTCACCTGTGCAGAGTCAAGCGGCATTGATAAATACTATTAGATACTATTGATAAATACTATTAGAAAGGAGGCAGAGAACCCTGGAGTTTGCATTGGTAAGGGAAAGATGCATCTGTTATTGATTCATGACATTACTTCAGGGCCATGCTGATTTAATCTGTTGTAGTAATAGCCCTCATCAGTAAATGAAGCCATGGGTGAATGAAAGCTTCATCTAGAAGAGGAAGCAAGTAGCAGCGCGCAAATATCCGCTCAGAAATGCCAAAGGCACTGGAAGCCCTTACAGAACATGAAAAACTCATCTGTAACAGAAGTACACTGCTGTGAAGTGATGGAAACGCAGATACTGCCAGATTTAGCAAGTTCTCTAATACTTTTGAATATCTCTCTTATAAAAAAAAATTAATTCCATGTAATCTTTCTTATGGGAAATGAGTCATTAAGGGGGCAGACCTCCTGTTTTTGCACTCCTGCTCCTTAGAAGAGGTTAACGGTAACCCTGAATTCACAGACGTGTGATCCCAGTGCTTTCTGAACTGTCACCCTTTCCCTGCTCCAAACATCAGATTGTTATTTTTTCTGCTATAATGGGAATGGCTGAATAATTTGAAGTAACATTACAGACTGAGAAGGGGCGTATTCTGCTTTGCTGGAACTTCATGTTTTCCTTCTGCGGGTTGATAACAGCTCCCATTCAACATTTCTGAGCTACTCAGCGCGTTTTTTCACTTTCACTCTGGTCGGTCAAGAATAATTTTTCTACAGTAAGGAAAAATGGCAGTTGAACGCGAGGACGAGCAGGATTTTACACACAGCATGATGGAGAACTGGCTTACATCCAACCCTGAGCGACAGCACGTGTTAGGAGCAGCCCTTCCCAGAACTCTGTTCTCTCTGCCCTTGCCCAGTGGGGAGCCGAGATCTGCGGGGATTTCCTGAGCAAAGTTGGCTGAAATGAAGTTCTGAGACCGCAGAGTTCACACCGCCGACAAGCCAAGGTGGCGGAAAGATGCGAGCGGTACTGTGGGGATCACGGACCGAGGAGCCGCGCGTTCGCGGCATTGTCGGGGCGGTTCATTTTGCACTGGAGCACTCGGAGCGCCTAACGGAATTACTCGCAGCACCTGCAGCCGCCGGCACGAGCCTCCCCACACGCGACGCCCGCACCTGCCGAGGCCGACCCGGGCGCCTCCCCCCAGCCTCCCTCCTGCGTCGCCGCGGCCGCCAGGGGCCGCCGGCGGAAAGTCCCACCGCTCGCAGCGCCGAGGAGGAGCCGCTCGGCTCGGGCGAGCCGCCCGCGGGGGCTGCGCACGAAGAGCGGTGGGACGTGCGGCGGCGAGGCGCGTGCGGAGCTCCGCCGGCAGAACCGGCACTGCGAAGCGGCGGCGACCGGGAGCCCTGCGTGCACGGCGGCGGCGGTCAGGAGAGGAGGTAGGCGCCGTGTCCTCGCGGGGACGCGCCGTGCCGGCCACGCTGGGGGCCGGCGGGATGCCCTAGGCGTTCTACAGTTCTGCCGCCTCGCTCCGGGCCCTGCGGGTGAGGCTTGGGAAAGGGAATTTGAACCCTCTGACGCGCCCTCGATCTAATAAACTAGCGCATAGAGCCCCTGATCTTTTATGCAGTTCAGTGCAGTGCAAAGTGCAGGCAGGCCTGCCTTTCTGCAGAAGGCGGCTCTGGTGCTTTCTTTCAGGAAGCAGGCACGGTGCGAGCTGATGACCACGCACCAATCCAGCTGCTGTACAAACTGTGAGACAGCAGGCAGGCTGAAGTGACAGGAGTCCACAAAGAGCTGTGTCACGGTTGGGTTTGACCTCGCTGAGCCTGCCTTTTTCTCCTTGCTTCCAATTTGCAAATTGCTGATTTTTTTTTTTCTTTTTTTTTTTTTTTTTAAACTAGCCATGACCTCTAAGGATGTTTCAGGCAAAGCTAATAGTAACTGGAGATGACTTTGGCTACTGCCCTCAGAGAAACCGAGGCATCGTGGAGTGTTTCCTAGCTGGAGCTGTATCTAACGTGTCCCTTCTGGTCAATGGAAGTGCTGCAGCAGATGCAGCCAAACTGGCAACGAGGTAAGCTACTTTCTTTAGCTCCTGTGTGGACAGCCTGCTCAGGCTATTGCAAAGAAAGCTAATCTCATCAAGCTGCCTGTTCAGTAGCTCCAGTATGAACACTGTATCAGAATCTAGGCTGGCATAAGAAAGTTGGATTCTGGGCATCTTTACTAACGTCCTTTGAACCACTGATATGTAATTCATACCCCAAATGTGGCTCTTCCTCTGGAATTATCTGCATTGGCCATTCTATTAAGGTAAATAGAAAGCCACTTACAGTTTTACTTGTATAGTTTGAATTTGTTGGATTTTCTTTTGCCATATTTCTAAAACATACATACCATTGGAATGAAAGCCTGTGCTACACTTTCAGACCAAAATCCTAACCCTAAAACCATTGGGACACAAGTGTAGAAACCTTTACATCTAATTTAATTCAATGCATTTGAACAGATTGAGCATGAGGACAGCCAGGCTCTTTTCAGAATTTGGAAAAGGTATAATTCTGCAGAAGGTCAGCAGAATGCTTGGCTTTTTCAACCAGAAATCAAATAAAATCAATGTTTCTATTCATTTTAAAAAAATCGATAAATCAGTTTGTGAAACAAGATCAAAACAAATAAGACTCCCTACTCCATAACAACAACAAAAAATCCACGATCAAACAAAGAAATCAAAACCAAAAGCCACCATCCCCCCATAATACCTCTTGTCTGTGTTGTACATACCTTTGCTCCTTCATAAATTTTTCAGAGGTTTGTGGCACATCTGACAGAGTAGCAAATCAATAGCATGCGTTGTTCTCCTGGGCTAGCCCAGCAAGTCTTTTAATAGACAGTTTAGAAGGTAAAACCCAGCTAATGCTTTTAGCTTCTATGTGGGCAGGGACTTTGAAGTAGGAACGCATCCCAGAGCAGTAAGGCAGAGAAGAAAAACAGGAAAACAGAAAAAGGAAAGGAGCTGTACGAGGACTAGAAACACTGAGACTTTAAGCTTCAGATACATCTTCTGCAAAGGTTCTCCTTATTACTCCTCCTTATTACTGTGCTTTTCAAGGTACTTGGAAATTGCCTGCAGCTTCTCAGGTGAAAATGAACATTGGGTGGTGCAGGAAAGTCGGGGTGTGGTGTTAACAGCAGATTGGTCTTCTGTTAACAAGGCTGGAGATGGCACATGAACACTGGGAGGGGAACCATCCCTAGGCTGATGAAGGGAAAGGCAGCAGAGCTAGGCAGAACACTGCTGAGATACCTAAAATCCTGTTAGTAAGTAAAATGAATGAAATGTAAAACAAGGAGATAAAGCCAGCACATCTCTCAGACATATAGGTACCATGAAGCCCTTCAAGCCCTAAAGCTCTGGTAATAGCTCCACTATTTTAGCTGAAGGCTTTTAAATATAGAATCCACCTGGCCTCATTTCCATAGCTAGAATGTAGGCTGTGTAATCAGAGGTTTAAAAACATCTTTGAATCCAGGTCACAACACTTGTGCTAACAGCTGATATGGGTGTATGAAAAAAAAGAAAAGCCAAGTTGTATGGTGAGTGACAGCAGAAGCTGCAACATGCTGCTGCAGTTTTGCTCTTCTGGAGGGTAATTTTGAATTCTACATGTGAATTACATATATTTAAATCTATTTCTGAGAATATAAGCTGGATGACTTTGGAAACATCTGTTAGCACTGAAGATTAATGAGCCAGGTTCTACAATTCCTCACTTGTCTGTAATTTCCTGCAGCTGTGTTCAATCCTGCCCATGCATGGGGAAAGTGTTTGCAGGCATGGGGCAAGGGATCTGTCTAATGCAAGACTCAAATCAGGTGGTGCTAGCATACCTATATTAAACTGACATCTGAACATGTAAATAAAATCATTTCACCCCTAAGACATATAGGCCAGACTTATTAAAAATAACATTTAATCTTCATCTTGCAGTGCCATGATGCAAGAAAATTAGGAGGGGAAAAAGTATGACTCACTGCTTTACTGTCTCACCACTCTTACTTGTTTTACTCCTTCTTTCCCTTACTTGACGTTGTCCCCTATCTCACTGTGAATGTTTAAATTTTACATTGTTTTGGGTTCTGTGCCCTGTTTTTTCCACCCCCATGTTTGTGTTATCCCATAGCTACCCATCTAAGAAGCACCACACCCACACATCACAGAATCACCAAGGTTGGAAAAGACATCAAGGTCACCCAGTCCAACCATCCACCTGTCACCAACAGTTCTCTCTAAACCACGTCCCTCAACACAAAATCCAAACGTTCCTTGAACACCTCTAGGGACGGTGACTCCACCACCTCCTTGGGCAGCCCATTCCAGTGCCTGACCACACTTTTAGAGAAAGAGAACTCCACAGCAGAGCTTTCAGCCTGTGACTAGACAACAATGTAAGCTGGGAGGCTGGATCCATCACCAATTGAAAAGAAGCTTGAAGTAAGCAGGTCGTGCTTTCCTGTGTGCATTGCAGCATTGTGATCTTTTGCACACATGATGCCAGGATTGTCAGAGTGCTGGTGTTTCAGTGACTTGTGGAGATCATGTATAATTCTTGATAAATTATGGTGTGGCTGCCTGTCATTGCATGTTTTGAGCTCTCCTCCTGTCTTCAATTAATTGCATGCAGGGAAAGTTAATGCCTGCAACAAGGCAGCTTTTCTTGCAGGATAGTTTTTCTTAAGCACTTTGCGACTCCTAGCATCCTTCAAGAAGAAACACTGTTCCTCTGGAATTCTTCTATTTCCTGCATTTTCCCATAGGCTTCTGGGTATGCCATCTGTTGCCCTGAGTTTTAATTAGAAGACTTGACAGAAGTTTGACAGTAGTCAGCAGGTGGTTTTACCAGCTCTAATGCAAACTAATTGCGGAACCAAGGAGTCAGTAATTCACCTTTCCTAACATTCAGGCTTTGGATTTCAGGCTTTTCTTATTTGTTTCCACAACTGGGCTGAAAGAAAGGATCTGGTTATTTCAGGCAAAAGTGTAGTTTCACCAGAGGCCTGATTCACTGTCAGATGACAGATGATAACAATTGCTAGAGCAGTGCACAGTGAGAACAGCAGAAGGAAGAACAGAATTACTTTGTTATCAGTAACTGGAAAAGTTTTCTCTTGATGGGGCGTAAGACTGAAGCTATGTCCTGGTTATCCAAGTAATATAATCTCATATATTTATCAAGCCCCACTTTGAGACATTGCTCTTGGTGCTTCTTCCAGAGAAGAGATTTATGGACTTGAATGGACTTGTTGAAAACGTGTCTTCATTTTTCTGTAGAAACACATACAGAGATGGCAGAAATGCAGAGACCTACAGCTATTTACCGCCCCTTACCAGCCCAGTTTGACCATTAGAACCTTCTTCCTGTTTTCTAGGTTATTATGTCCAAACACTTAAATAGTGACAAATTTTAGAGCACAGCTTCAGCCTTCCTTTTTTTTTTTTTTTTTTTTTTTTCCTTCTCCTCTGCTTAATTTCAGCTACACAAAAGCTGAAGCCCCCACAACAGCTGGGTACATTTAACAGAAGAATCTAACAAAACCACATTTAATTGCTGTGTATGTTTTCCTCTTCCTTTCCCATCAACACTAATTGCAAAATGTGTGTGTAAATTGTGAATTAATTCTGACCCTTCAGTCGATGTCTGATTAATCTAGAAGTCTCTCATGCTTCTCATCACCTGCTTTATCCGACTTTTAATCACAGGCAGGCAGTTCTGCTGTCAAACTGAGTTTGGACTTAGGACAGCGTGCTGAGGCCTTAAACTGAAATCCCAAATCAGATTGATTTCAGAGGGCCCAGCACTTTTTGATGATGTGGAATCATGGACAGTAGATCTTCAACTGATACAAAAATTTAATTGAAAATAAAGATACAGCCTTACACAATGTACAGAACCAGTTCTTAACACTACAGAGGATATGGGGTGTTTCTGTCTACAAGAGTAAGTCCTTAGCAGTAATAGAGCAAGCCAAGATGGTATTTGATAGGATGCAGTTAGACAAAATGCTACTGTAGGGTGAAAGCGGGCAGTGGGTACAAAACAAACAAACATGCAAATGCCCACATTGAAAAACCAATATGTGCTCTTCACATATAGCATGGCTTTGCTTTGTCTGGATTCAGACACTTGAATAATTACTGAAACGGGATGTCTGGATATTTATGTGAGGCCCTTAGTTGCATCACGCTTGGTCTGAAGCCCAATGAAACAGTGATTTCCCAGATAAGGTACAAACAGGATGTTGAAGGTGGGATCTGTTTACCCATCAGGGAAAAGAATAAGTGCCATGCTTACCCCAGAGTATGCCTTGAGCAAAGAATTGGCAAAGGTCTGGTATTAGGGAAATCAGGTAACTTCCACAGTGATTACAGCAGCTTCAGGGATCATAGGGACTGAACAGAGTGGCCAGTCAGGAGCCAGGGCACAGCTGCTCATGCACCAAACTCAGAAGTGTGCAACAAAGCTGGCAGCATTTTAAAGTGACTCAGTTCAGGGACACAGTCTGGGGACCCTTTATGCAACTGTACAAAAACCTGTTGCCTCAGCAGAGATTTGTTCAGAGCACTCATGTGGCAAAATAAGCAACTACTTGAAAAGGAAGCAGTTCATCTGGTTGTATTTCCTCTATTTCACGGGTATCCAAAATTTCAGCTTGCCTGAGCTGCAGTGAGTGAAGGAGAATTGTTGAGGGCCATATCTACATTGGTTGCTTCACTAGTAATGTCTCTTGATTATATCTATGGAAGCTACAAGAGATATAAAGAGCAAAATAACTCCACTTAAAAGAGCAAACTCTCAGCCAAAAAACGCACTTTTTCAGCAATCACCACATCTGTGATCAAATCTGTGCATCAGGAGAGGCTTGCCAACATCTAGACTCCAGCCTCCAAAAAGGAGGTGGAAGGGTCATTGTCGCTTCAAACAACAAATAGAATTAATTTAGAGAGACCACCTCATAGATTTGCGTCCATATTGTTTTGTGTTGGCAGTGTTAGCTGTTACTGTAGTTCTTATAGCAGAAACTGTTGCTTGAGTCTCAGTGCTCATCCTTTTAAATTTTATGTTGGGTAGAACAACTAGCAGTTAGATTTGATTGGCAACAGAATCAGCACAAATTCTGCCTTATCCGTAATGCCTGAGGCAGAGGATTGGTTATGAGGGCAGACCCACCGTAGCTGAGCTCTGCTTCCAGTGTGGCATCACATGCTGAGCTGAAGTATCAGTCTCTGCTTCAGCATTTCTGCTAATGAAATAGCAGGTATTTTATTGCTTTTGAAAAAATCTGGACAGCTGTGTTTGTGTAAGGGAAGTTCCCTTAACTTGACTTTTTTCCCTGCCTTTTTGTCCCCTCTCTCCTGCAACACAGCATGCCTTACTATTCTTTGGTTACAGAAGCTACATGTCTCTGGTGAGAGACACTCCAGAGTACTCTGAAGAGCTAGTGCAGTGTATTTAATAGTAGAAGAAAGCCTGCAGGTTCAGTCTTAAAAGCCAAGCCTCAGGGCTTTAGATAGAGCATTATTGGATCCCAGTCTTCTGAGGCACAGCCCAGGTGTTACTGTAATATTGACGTTTTACTCTCATTTTCATCTCATTGCTCTTAGGGCTTCAGAGACTCGTGCAGTGTCAGGATTGTTTGGGATGAACACTGAGCCCCTGGGCACGTGGTGCTGGAAGGAGCATCACTGACTCATTGCATCCAGAGAAACAGGAAAGTGCAATCTAGAAGCAGAACCCTGCTGTGCCCAGTGAGTTGTCCACCTTCTCATGTCCTTAAAGCTCTCCTGGCATGTTTGCTTCTGTGCATCTCCCATAGATCAGTACTTCTTCCGAAGTTTCTCACATGCTGTGTTTTGAGTTTTGGTGCCTGTATCCCAGAGCTGTTAAACACTAACGGTTCCTCTTCAGATTCCTTCACACCAACAGTCACTCAAACCAGCCAAGACTAATTCTAGGAGAAAACTATTAAGATATTCAGCTGGTGTTTACCAAAGCTCTGAAACGTGCTCTAATGTTACAGAGAGAGTCTCCCCTTACAGTGAGAACAGAGCCAGCTCTCTGCACTTCCACATTCTGCACATTCCCCAGCTCCAAGGCTGGTTTCAGCTCAGGCAGAGAAGCAACTCTAATGCAGTGCAGCACAGTGCCTGGCTCCCTGGTGTCCCACACCTGTCAGAAAAGTTTCCCTTTTCCTGAAAATAGCGTTGCTCACAGCATTGCACAACTGGAGGTTCATTTGATGCCCTTGGGAGACAACACGACAGGGCCCAGCTGTTCATTTCTTGCCCTCCTACATCACAAGAAGGCAAGTGCTCAACAGACAGTTTTCTGTCTGCTAATTCATGGTAGCACATGCATCCTTTTCTTCTAGACAGCAGTGGCGATAGTGCAAGAAGTGCTATCAGCTGACATAGTCAAAACTTCCCAGAGAAAGGATAAAGAACCTGAGATTTCTGAAAGAATGAGTTCCCCCTCTACCTTCAGGCTCATTCGAAGTACACAGCAGGTCATGGGAGGAAAGGGATGTTCTTCTGCTTCAGCTCTTCTCAGAGTTGTCCATACACTAAGAAAGAGCCTAAACCAGGTCAGGTGCCTAAAACATAGTCCTTTAGCACAAGACATGGAGGAACGAATTTCAATCCTACAATGTCTTAGAATGGGAAGGAAGTCATTTACCCTGACCTAGTCCAACCCATCCACAGTCCTTTAGTCCCCAGCAACTTTGCACTTCACTAACGAGCTTCAGAACAGCAGCTTATTGGGTCAGAGAGCGTGTCTTGGAAGAAGTTTCAAAGCATCATTTTGTCCATCCTCAGAGAATTTCAGAGGTGGCAATGAAGCTCAGCACAAACCTGAGAACCAGCATGGATAGAGTGGTGTTACAAAAAAAAGGAAGGGTGCTCACCCGTCTCTGAAGATCCAGACTCGCAGGAAAGACTTAACAAGAGAAGGATCTCCAAGCAGAGACCCTTCCCCAGCAGCACTCAGCCCTTAAATGCTAAGAGAGGTGCAGCCAGGCTGCGCCCCTTCCTGTCCCACAGCTGAATTGCCTTCACCTGTGCTCCCAGGGCTGGCTGGGTCCTGTCCCCAGGTGCTCAATCAGTGCTTCAGGCCGTGACTCAACAGTTGCCATACACACCAGGTTACCCTTAAACTCAGAAAATATTTACGCTTGTAGTCTTTGCTGTTGCCATAATGGCTGCCTTAGGTACTATTTATGTACAGCTGGATTCCACTTACGTGTAACTTTGGATGAAGTTGTCAAGTAAGACTGAAGTTTTATAAAGGCAGCTTTTTCAGTAGTATAAGCTCTGGAGTTTATTAATCGTTTTCTGAAAGAGTTGCTGTAGCAGTAGTGCTGAGTCATGGCCTGAAGCAGTGACCAAGCACCTGGTGGCAAGGCAGGGCAAATCTAGGTGAGCTCAAGTGCATGCAGTGCACCTGGGTGACTGGAAGGGTTGGAGCCACGATCAACCCCTTCTCAGGCATTGTGTGAGGGTTGGCAGTGGGGTGAGGGTACCTCGCTGGAAATCCCTGCGTACCTGAGGCCTTCCAAACGTAAGCATCTTTTTTCCTTTGTTTCTGCGTCCATTTCTGCTGCACTTGGACTTGTTCTCGTTTGCTGTAGCTAAAGAATTAGCTGCCCTGCTGTTATTGCTGTGCTTTCCATCTTATTATAGTGTTATGGTTGCAGTATTCAGATTTTTCTGTCATTTGCTAGTAACTTCAGGACAGATACTAATACCATACAGTTAGTTATAGTTTTTAATACAGATATGAAATTTATTCTGAGATGTATCACGGCTGCTCTCTCCACGTGAGCCAGGATGAGAACGCTGTTGGGGAATACTATAGGCTGGGCAGGTTTGTTATCTGGATATATTCTGCTCTGGGCTATTCTGATTTCCTTTCTAAAAAAGAAAAGGTCCAAAGCGACCACAATAATCTGGATTAGTCCGGATCTTTCACAGAAGCCTCATGCTTTTGATGCAGTGAGGGAGGTAGAGGTGTAAAGTTTAAGAGGTATTTTATTCCTATTACAGATACAACATCCCCATAGGACTGCACGCCAACCTCTCTGAGGGCTCCCCTGTATGTGAGGCGCTCAAGACAAACTCTTCTCTGCTCAGTGAAGCTGGATTTTTTCATGGGAAAATGGGATTCAGAACAGCTCTATCAAAAGGCCTCCTAAATATGTCAGAGGTAGGAGAAAGCCACATACATAGCAGAATCACTAAGTCATGGCCTGAAGCAGTGATTGAGCACCTGGTGGGAAGGTGGGGGCAACCCAAGGGAGTTCAGGTGTATGCAGTACACTGCAGCGTGGGACTTTGCCCCCCTGCTATTATTGCTTTGCTTTCCATCATATTGTAACATTACGCATGTGCAACTTGCTTTCCTGATACAGCTCAGCCTACACTTATTCCAGTAATAGTTGAACATCTTTTTGTAGGTCATGTCTGTAAGTGTGCTTACAGGTGAATCTAGGCTGTGGTGCCTTGGCATCTGAAATTGGCTTTCTGTGTCCTACACGTAGTGCTGCTAAAATCTATGCAGTCTTTGACAACTCACTCTCCCTGCTTCTTTAAACATACACTAGTGTGCTTGTTAACTACTTATCTGAAGAGACAGAAGAGATATTGAAACAGATACCTGTGAAGAACCTGCAATCGATAAAGGGAAAATGCCAGAGAACTTCTCAGTAGACTCTGTGTTATCTTGAGAGGCTCTCATTCTCTAGGCAGATATTTGGTTTTGCACTGTTAAGCAAGGATGGGTGTGTTCTAGTGACCAAAGCTGCCTTTCAAAGTAAAGGGAAATGGATATTCAAATATCATAGCTTTAAAAAAATAAAAATAAATAAAAAATCACAGCAGCAGCAGCATCATCCACTCAGCCAGAGCCGAAAGGAGACCTGTACTTAGGAAGGATGCCAGGCAGTCCAGCGCCATTACCCAGCCAGCACTTCGTGCTTTCAGTGCCATATCCCAAGTACTAGCAAGCAAGGTCTCCAACACCCACCTTGCACCCTCCTGCTCTCAGCCTTTTCTTTAATCCTTTTCTGCTGTGTAGGTGAAGCAGGAGCTAAAGGCCCAGGTGGATCTGTTCCATGAGCTAACAGGCCACCTGCCTCCTCACATGGATGGACACCAGCACATTCACGTTCTCCCAAGTAAGCAAACACTCCCTTTCTTTCCAGCACTAAGCAGATGAGAAGCCCCACTCTTGCCATGGCTCCCTGGACAATAAACCTTATAGGATTTGTGTAAGGCTCTACAATTGCAGTTGTGTTCCCACCTTGGACAAGTTAGCCTCTGAGATTGAAGATTGGGTGCTACAAAAGCTGTGCTGTTGGTTGTATTTCTATTCCAATTTTATCTGTGGGTTTCAGCTTGTTTTTCATATGTATATTATAGGCAAGTACCAGGGTCTCAGTTTTCCAACTAAGATCATTGTTTGTATAGAGATGGAAAACTTGGCAAAAAAAAAAAAAAATCAGTATTTCCCTGTGTTAACAATCAGCTGACTCAAGAACTATGGCAGGGACTTGGTGAAGAGTGTGTTCCCAACAGTACAGCCACCGCAGGTTTACTCCAGGACAAGGCTCCCAACCTCAGAAGAGGTTACTGGACTAAGCACTCAGTGCTGAAGGGGAGACAAGGCACATACAGCAGTTGTTGAACGAGTAATGCTTTCAGGTATTTCCACTTCAAAAGGGCGCTTTGATCCAGATGAACAAAACCATTTCAGCAGAAAAGTCAAATGAGGTTTTATGTTTAAGACACTAAAGGAAAAATGTGTCTGTGCTGACAGCTTTCAGGGGATGTGAGTTGGTTATCTGATTCCTGACTAAAGTTTCTTTTTATTTACAGAGGTCAGGCACGTGTTTGCAGAAGTGTTAGAGGAATATGGGATTGAATACACTCGTGTCCCAATAGAGCCAGGCCTTCATAACTGTGACTGGATTGAGCCATCCCTGATGGACTTCTATGTGGGAGTAGAAGAAGATTCTCTGAAGACAGTGGATGTGTTTAAAAAGCATGGAATAAGGTAAGACAGGCATTACTCCTTCTTTTTGGAGTAAAACTTTAAGATGTATCAGTTCCTGATAAGATATTTTCAGAATGGAACAAGACCTCTTTCTCTTTCCAATCTGGGGCTTACAAGGGAATTCTGCAAGAGTACAGAAGCTCTGGAGACACTATGGGTTACTGTGCAGATTTGTTTGAGAAGAGATGATTCACTTTTCATGTGAAATGGATTGTTCTTCTCAGGGTGTTTCTCAATCTTTCATTCTCTTACCATTTCAGATGCCAGAGTAATGCCACTTGATTAGAAGTGTTAGATATGCTTCAAGCACTGGAACTTTAGTTGTAAGATTTAGGGAACGTTTTTGAAAGATAACTTTTTACATCCTTGAACTGTGAAGAAAGGGCTTTAAGTAGCAGGAAATAAGCTAATTAAGAATCACTATTCGTTTTGTGGAAGCAAGAAGATCATAGGGCGTACAATGCCAGAGCAAGTGATCACTGCTTTAAAGCAAACAGTCTTGTCAGTGTCGTGGGAGTCATAATTTTACAGATGAACGACTCTTCAGCTCAGGTCCATGCACTCACCTGCCCTTGGATGATGTTACTTTTCCTTGCTTTCTCAATTGACTGAAGTATTGCCTTCTTGGCTTTTAGGTGAAGTTGTGTATTGATATAAGCTGGATGGCAGTATCGCTTGCTGTCAACTAGCAGGCCAGCATTTCACTGTGCTCTTTCTGTGCAGAGCACTCAGACTGTACTAGGACAGCCTATTACTGAGAAAGCAAAGGGCACAGCAACTCAGAGTGAGAAATTGGGAGAAATGAGCCAGGAGCAATGCAGGGGAATTTGATGGAAATTCCCCTCCAAGGATCTCCGTGCCACCCCAGGGACCATGCTGTGGTAGCGCAGGGGAACTGCTGCTCCACGACCCTCTTCCTGCCCTCAGGGTGGAACTCATATGGCTGCTAAGGGAGCTGTGCCTTTATACCTGTTGTGACAACACCCCCACAAGTGGAAGTCTGTGGCTGTCTTTTGCATGGAAGTGCTGCAGTGGGCCGCGCTCCACCTCTTCTGCTGCTGCTGAGAGTGAGGAAGAATCGATTGCTACTAAACAAATGTGTAACTTTTACGTAGGCCTTTATTTTCCCTACTAAGTTAGTTGATAGCAGCATTTCTCGGTTACAGCTCTGTCCTTTCACTGCTAATAATGTGCACCTTTAAGCTCTCAGATGCCACACAATTCCAGTGCCGTGACAGCATACATGATCAGAGTAACAATATGAATGTTGGTATCTGAGCTATGCTGGGACTTTCTGCCAGACTGAAGAGCTGATGTTCTAAACAGTATCTTGATTTTGACAACGAATGAAAGAGCATTATTGGCTTGTAATTACAGTTTTACTTTTGATTCCTCATCTACTGGACATAACACACTTTTGTCTAACTACCTCATTAACATTAATATCTGTGTTCCCACCTCTGGCTACAGGTGGCCAGACGTTTACATAGGTTTGAGTACCATGGGCAAGAACATGTCTGTGAGTGCCATCCAGAATGCCATAGACACCGCCATTGTGGAGTTCACATCCAAGATGCCTGCACACCCAGTGCCTCAGCACAGGACGGTGACGATTGAACTGATGGTGCACCCAGGGTACCCAAGCGTCCCTCCCATCGGTGGCTGTGGGGAAGGACCGGATGATTTCTCACAGTCCTGGGAGCGCCTGCATGAACTCCAGACATTAATCAGGCCGGAGCTGCAGAGCCATTACAAAACAAGGAACATTCAGCTTTGTTCATTCAAGGATCTGTAAATATACATATTTGCATACCTGCGTTTGTACTTCAAGGGTACACAGTTGCTAATGTCCCCGTAAGCCGGACCACGTTCCCAGCCTTTGTAACACCTCCCAGCACAGCTGGCAGGAGCTGTCAATGGCCTGGAAGTTGCATGAAGCCTTTTGTGAAAGTTGAAACAGTTTGTGAGCAGTGACAGGCAAGTACCTGGGGGTGCATATCCTAGTACTGTGGAACGCTGTCCTGTGAGTCAGTCATATTCCATGTGAACCTTCAGCCTGAAAGTCCTTGTCCTGTTTGTTCATTTTAATTCCAATCATGAAAGCATGTGAGCTGCAATGAGCCCCGTACATATTGCTGTGTTTAACTGCATTTTAAGATGTAGACGTGTTATTGACTTTCTGTGTGGCACTTTCTTCTTCCAGACTGTTGGTGCTCATTTCCTGTGCAAAAGCGATCTACCTAACATCATTTTAAAGCGTTTTTTAAATACTAAAAAAAATTAATATTGCCATCTTTTCTAAGCAAAAAAATAGTCAGGTCTTTTTCTGTTGTAATGCAGTGTGAGCAGAAAGCGCTCAGGTATCTGCTCCAGGCGCAAGGCCCTGCAGAGCTGGGAGGGCATCTTTGTGTCACTTTGGTCACTGGAGCTGTGTGATCCACCACTCCTGTGCACCTGAGGCAGTGTTTGCTCTGTACAAACACAAAAAATCATCGAGGACACTTGGTAAAATATTTTCTCAGGCTCTTTCCTAAGTATCGTAACGGAGCTGATTTGACACGGGACAGTTTTTTTTATCTTGCCACGCTGTGCCCGTGCTGTGCAGAACAGCGGAGTCCTCCCAGGAGCAGTGTGAGCAGCGCCTTCGGTGCTGCACTTCGCCTCACCGCCATCTGAGGGCGCAGTTTACGCGGTGTGGAAACAAAACGCGGAAGACCGCATCTTCAGAGCTGCGGAAGGTAACGGAGGTGCCAGAGCGCGGCTGGACGCGCGAGCGCCATCTGCTGCCCTGCCGCGTGCTGCAAAGACGGTGCGCCAATACTGCAGCTCCATCTCCGCACTGTGACCGTGGTACGATGGATAATTTAAACCTTAATCTGAACTTTCGAACTGCGCAACAATCGGTGACTTTGCTCTGTTCACAACCGTTGGGATGTAACTTAGCTCAGCTTGTATGATTTTCTTCTAGCTGAACGTGGAAATGAACACAACAGTCTAACCTGAGCAGAAGTTGTTAAGAAAGGCATTTTACAAATACCTCATTGTCAGATGAGCAGAACTGAAACCCAATTTTTTAAATTGAAATGAGTTCTAAATGTGGAAATGAATACAGAGCTTCTGAAAGACTGGTAAATAAGGAAGCTTTCCCTTGCACGGAATGCACAGAGGTTTCTCAGGGGCTCTTCACATTCACCACAGAGTTGAGACTGGAAGCACATGCAGGCTGCTGTGATACACAACACTGTACACAGATAGCCGAGGTACAAACATGAAATCTCTTTGAAAATAAAACCATGCCACAATGCCTTTGAGAGCAATTTTTATTAGGGTAGCAGAATGGAATTGCAGAAAGCCTATACCAGTGTTCATGGGTGTAGTTGTTTTATTTTGGATTTTCAACTGCATGTTTAGAATTCAGCATGGCTTAGGGAACCAGAGAGCACAAGAGCTTGATTTCCTGAGTTAACAAAGGGTTTGATTTCTTTTTCACCTCAGACTTCAACCACACAGTACAGTATTTGATCTTTATCTTCCTTTTAGAGGGCCACCTGCAAACAAAAGCCATCACTTATGTTACACACTTCATGATTAAAAACTGAGCTCTGAAACACACACAAAGAAAACTGATGGTAATGCTCATCTTCTGTGTGATCTTTACAAATGAAATGAGAACAGCTAGCATACAGCACTGCTATAGACCTCTACGAATCAGCTGAAGCTCCTTCAGTTACACAGCTCTTCCAGTTTCCTTACAATGGCATCCAAGCCACACTGAAATAAATGCAGTCTTTAACCTGAGAGGCTTACAACCAGAAAGTATACTGTTTAGTAGTAACGATGGCAGCAAACTAGTGCTACAGTCGTTTTAAATAATAAAAATAATGCAAATTTAAAGAACGTTTCAATTGTGAACAGACATGATCAAAAAGTACAGTGACTCGGCTGATGCGAAGTTACACACTTCAGTTCAACAGATAATTTGGCATTATTTTATTACGAATCTGAGTGAGCGTGAAGGAAACAAAATCAGTACCAACTTTCTGCAACCAAAGACACAAAGATGTGAAAAATTTGGTAACAGTGCTCTCACAAGCCAGGAAACACTTAGGGAAGGTAAGTTTCCGTAAATAAGGTGAATGTGGTTTAACTTCATTTACCTGCCAAAGAATCCATCTAAGAACACTTAACATGAAATTTCTTAGCTCCCTAACTAATAAAAAAAAAAATCACTTTCAGCAGAGGTGAGGTACTGGGCTGTCATTGTTCACTAAATCCAAAATAAAAGCCAGATGAGAGAAGGGCAAATGAAGGAATAGCAAATATACTTTAAAAACCAATAGACCTACAGTTGATGCACTACTTCTGCAAGGTTGCAAAGGTAGAGGCTGTATTAAAAGTGACTCTAGGAGTATAGACAACCATCCAGATGTGAGGGATTTTCTAATTCAAGTTCTTGCAAATCGAAGTGATATGTACTCCCAGCTACCTATGGATTTCTGGAATTCTTTTTACTCAGTAACATACTCAGGTTCTACAGGTGGAGAAGGCAGTTTGATTGTATGGCAGTTTGATTGGAGCTACAATCACACTTCAGACTTAGGACACGCAGGCAGAAGAAAAGCAATAGAGACACAGTAAAGGTGCCCAACTCTGAATAGAAAGGGCAACCTTCAGCATGCGTGAGTGTGCCTGGAGCAAAGGGAAAACAGCTCTGCCCAAGTCAGAATGATAACTTGAAGTAGTCATCAGATAACCTAACACGTACTTTTAAAACGTAGGAACAGTAGCAGTGAAGTGTATTCAGTTTATTGCTTAATCCTACTCTCGTACTATTTTCAGTAATAACTGTACAGCAACTGGGAAGGAAGTGGCGTGAGTGCCATTCCCTAGCACGTATATCATCTGCATTTGGATGAAAGAAAATCTCACTAGCAGTGCTAACATTCACTATTTGATATTCATTCTTTCCTAAAATACCAACTGTTTCACTCAATACCAGTTTAGTATTTCGGTGTATCTCTTGGTCCTCAATTTCTGAAACTTCTAAACTGGTCGCACTGTTGTTCTGTGCACATTATCCAAGCTAACTTACACTAACTTTTATTAAGAATAAAAGTGAAAGGAGTTTGGAATCACATTTTACTACTACTTTTTTTTTCCCAGCGTTTTCCAAAAGCAGGACATAAGCCATATTCTAATTCAATAACGCAGACAAGAAATTGGATTTCCCCATTTAATAAACATTTTGTGGTAACATCAGCCAGATTTACATAAGACCTGGACATTTCTGATTGTAGTTGGGTTTTTTTTTTATTACGTTACAAACTGAAGTTAAGGGGAACTTGCAGCAAGTCCCACAGAGCACAGTGCAATGTTTTGAAGAGAAGAGTAAACAAAACTGCCAAACACTCAATCATTTTCTGCCAGAAGTGGGATATTTTTTCTAAGACATCAGTTTGAGGAGGAGCAAAAATTCAATGCTGAATTAAATGAACTCAGGATAGTGGTAACTGCAAGGAGAAGTAAGAAATGACAGCCACAACCTTTTCAATTCAAGGGCAGAATATAAGTCTAAGATATTTTTGATAAATTCTGACAAAAAAAAAAAAAAAAGAAAACAGCATACTTTAAAGTATATTGAAGCAGTGATTTTTAAACAAAGAAAGCAGAACTAGAACATCTTAAATTTTTAATTCTTCCTTTACAGGTTACCTAGCCCACTTTTGATTAAGAAAACTGTAGAAAGTTAGTAACAGCCACAAGTTAACACCAAAAGGTGGCACTTGTCAATTTTCCATAGAGTCCTGCTTTACGGGATGTCTCAAATGCACTGCTCCGATCTTCTATCATACGTTGCTGACATCAGCTGTGTCAGATTTTAGTCCACTGGTCGCTTTTCACCATATTTCTTTGTAAACTCTTCAGCATTCTTACAGAATTTTTTACGGTCCTTAGAGTATTCTTCAGCTAGGTCAGCCCGCAGGGGATGCTCAGGCTGTGGATCATTCACCAGTGCTATGAGGGACTGGATTACTGTCAAAAGAAGTAAGAACACTGTCAGAGACTAAGACTGTTAATTTAAAGGGGGAAAAAAAAAAAAAGACAGAACAAGATATAAGAAAATAACTTAAACTGCATTTAAGTGCATCCTAATAAATCTTGTTTCTTTTCAAGAGCAGAGTAAGACACCACATCAGTAAGCTACAGTAATATGCCAACGCGTAGTTTAATGACAGCAAATACATCAGGAAATCACATCTGTGAACAGAACCAACTGCCTGTGAGCAAAGACCAAAACGCACAGCACAGTATTTTCCCAAGCACTGAGCATCCTGCCTCCTTATGGCTGAGCAAGGAGCTTCACAGACAGCTTCACCTGTAATGCATCAAGTGAAGAGGGCCCCAGAATTTCTGTCACAGAACATTTTTCCCTAATACCTCTCACAATAAATTAAGCAATTCAGTTGTAATTGGATCTACTTTTGGAAACCACTTTTTTTCAGCTTTATTTTTCTATGACTTACTTCCCCTATAAGTAGGGAACAACTCTTGACATTATTCTGAACTACCAAATATGTTTTGTAGTATAGATATACTAGGCAATACAGTAAGAACTGCAAGGTGCTTTTCATACCACTGTTCACAGCTGCATGGCAACTGCTGAGTCACAGGCTGAAGCACTGATTGAGCACCTGGGGGACAGGACCCAGCCAGCCCTGGGAGCACAGGTGAAGGCAATTCAGCTGTGGGACAGGAAGGCACACAGCCTGGCTGCACCTCTCTTAGCATTTAAGGGCTGAGTGCCGCTGGGGAAGGGTCTCTGCTTGGAGATCCCTCCTTTGTGGAGTCTTTCCTGTGAACTGAAATGTTCAGAGATGGGTGAGCATCTTTTCCTTTGAAATACCATCCTATCTGTGCTGGTCCCTTTGCTGTTACGCTCCTGTATCTCCTTCCCACTGCATTGATCTTTCTGTAACAATAGCCATTTAATCAGCATTCCCACACCACTTTCAAGAGAAATCAGGCTCACAAGTGTACTTTGCATTTACATAGCAAGTCCTGTGTGCTACCATGAAACTTACTGCTGCTTTTTCCTTATATACATTCTTATCACCAGTAGTGGTACCTGGGTTACAATCGTCATGAGTTCTCAAATCCATCAACTGAAGTTTATACGCAACTCAGCAAGTCTACAGACAGTGAAAACACCAAAGATGCATTTCCCTGAACAGCAGTGTTAACAGCTTTCTACTTGAGGTAATGGACTCCAGACTGATATAAAGCAGCACCCTACAGTTTTTTGAAACAAGAATACCAAACTGCTCACTTTGTGCCAATACTACAGCCAGCGGCCTCCTGAACTCACACAAAATGCTGGCAGCCACAACAGAGCGTGAGAAGTCAGGGTTTGTTTTCAGTCTGCCACCTCCCAGTTTAACTGGATTCTCCCTAGTTTTGCAGTGTAAGTGCTTACAATGCTTATCACCCTGGAAGATGCTAAGTATCACAGGAGCTTGTTTCAGAGCACAGCCTTCTCACTTTTCTACCTTTACCTGAAAGGGATGGGGGCCAAGTAGGAACATTTCCTACCATGGACCTTTAAACTTTAACAAACTAATACAGCATGTAACAATGCCTTTTCACTCAGTAAAGCCTCTTTATGTACAGTAATAAATATTTAACATCAAGTTTATCATTACCTGCCAAAAAAATGTGAAAATTTCACGAAAAATTTCACATTGCTCCTAACTAATGGAGCAACGAGAGGCAAGACTTATCACACTCTCAAGTCTGGCAGAGAACCTAATGAGACTTCCTTACAATACTTACAATAGTTTTTATCCAAAGACACTCCACACAGTAAGCCTCACAGCAGTGATCTTTTAATAGCTAAGAGTTAATCTGTGTCATGACTTTGTTTTTTCTTTAAGCAAACAAGCCAAACACGTATGTAGTTACTGTTTAAAAAGAAACATATAGTAACACCATTTTTTTCTTTTCTTTTCCATTTTGGATTTAAATACACCAAGGACACAACCTTAATGAACTCTTCAGCCATTAAGAGTTGGTTTCCTGAAGGTGGAAATGCCACAAGTCAGTGTCATTACTTTATGTTCTAATAACAAAATGACATTACAGAAGAGCTGCATGCTTTACTCACAATATGTATTCATGAGGCAAACCTTAGGAAAAGGGATAAAGCAGAAAAGCAGGTTGACAAGCGAAAATACTGTTTGCTTCAAACACACAATGCAAAGTCTCTTAATACCCTTTTTTCCTCCACAAGGAGTCCTACCTTGGTCAGTTTTGGTTGCTGGCTTCCAGTTTTCAGCACTAATTACTGGCAGACAAACCTGCCCCTTTTCATCAATGTTAGGGTGATAGATCTTTGTTTTAAATGTAATCTTAGGAGGTTTGAATGGATATTCTGCTGGAAAGTTGATTTCGATTCTGAAGGCTCCTTTATCATATGGAGGATTGTCCTGCAATGAGATGACAGAACATAAACAATCCAGCATTCTATAACATGTGAACTTGAAGTAAAAGCACGTTCAGACTTCGTCTACTAAACGACCTCTTTTCAAGGCACTTTTTCCAAACACATTCCTACATTTATGAACATCAAAACTAATGCGGTAGCAAAGAGGCAATACAACCTCCATCACCTTTGCGGTCAGCATGAGAAAGGCAGACTACCACTGTTCTGAAGCTGGCTGATATTCCTGCTAGTAGGAAAGCAACCAATCCCATTTACTCCATGCTCAGAGATCTAACAAGTATTTTTATTCCCACATTTATAAGTATTTTGAAATACACTGTAAACCCTTTCTGATACACAAACAGGAAACCTCACGAGGATATTGGTTTCCCTAAAGCTGCCTGTTTTGTATCTCACACAACATGGTGGTTCAAACAGCAAAGCAGTTTGATTTGTCACATTCCCATAAGCATTCTGAGAACCCTTTTGTGCTGACTGCATAGAAACCTGCTGAGCATTAATTTGTACTAAAGATAGATATCCACTGCATCTGCTGATGAGAACATTCTGAATTCGTATGCAGTTTTAGCACCCACTGCTATCAGATCAATTTTGATGGAGTACAATGAGAGAACTGTGAAGTAGGCAAAGATTTTTGAACACTGCTACTATTTCAAATGCTAACTGCTGAAGAAAGGCAGGAAAAAAGCTCCTGCTATGTTTAAAGATGATGAAAATGACATTCTATAAGCAATAATAACCAGGACACCAAGCCTTCCCAAATACTTGAAGAACTCGTGTTCCCAGTTTGCGTTAAGTATAATTATTCTGCATTACCTATCGGGCCATTTCCTTAATTCAGTTCCACTCCAGAAGTTAAAAAGCTTTTACAAATACTTGGGGTTGGCGAGCACTCTATTAAGATGCTATTCAACACATAACATTCAATTTTGTTTTGGTTGTGGCTTCTAAGAAGTGACACATGATTTTTTGAGTCAAGGGAAGAAGTAACTCGAGTAGCTGAAGACCACTTTTTACCTGAGCAACCCTAAAAGCTTTTCAAGTTTAACAAATAACTTTCTGGCTGTAGTGGCAATTTTCATTAATGCCCTCTTCTCACACTGTCTGCTTTGTTCTCACCTCCATCACCTGCTAAAACATGGGAGGATGTTCAGGAAAATGCTACAGGATCAGAACTGGCTTAAGAATGCTCATTTCCTGCTTGACTCTCAGTCAGAACAGTTTTTCACCATAACTCGCCAATAAATTTTAACTAAACATGTATGTAAAGCAGTTTCTCATCTTTTCAAGAGACAGAACACAGAATATTCAAGAAGTTCATTTCCAGTAATTTGTTACATTTATTCTTCTACTGACAAGGTAGACAGTCCAAATTATAAATGCTGAAATACAGATATCTAACACTTGGCTTGCATTCTCCTGATGTATTTTTACTCTGCACAAGTTTATCAGAAGCATTTGCTATGGACAAAGTGAAATAAAATTCAGTGTAACCCAGCAGCACCTTTTACTACAGCCAGGAGCCTCATACTGGCATTCAAAAAAATCAAACAGTGCTTTTTCAATGTACAGAACTTCAGCTATACCCTATTGTGCAGTTTAGAACAGGAAAACTTGAGAAATCACCTTCAACAGGCTTCTCAATTGAACTAACACTAAAAACAAAACGCGATGTACACAGGTTCTTATAGCACTACTGCACAAACACTGTCAAAATACTAACCTTCACATCTTTAATATTTGAATTAAAAAGCAAACCAAAATACTGCCTAGTTACAGAGTTTAATAATCAGTAACTGATTACTCTACTAATGACAGTACTTGTATCTCAAACCCTCAGCAAGAACAAAACTGGGAACAGCATGTAAAACTTCGAAAGAAAAAACTTGGGAAAAAACCTAGAAACCACCACTACAACCAAAACCAGCACACCTCACTTGTATCCAGTTTATATTTGATATTTTGAAGCCTTCTATCCCAGCTAAAAAAAAAACAACAAATTATGCTTCAGCATAAGCATCTTTTATAGCATTTCCTCAAAACGTAATCTATATTACTCTTCAAAACAGCTATGACACAAATATTAATTGCTCTAATAAGCATAGATTTCATAACAAA